AAATGGATAAGGACCTGATTGAGTGGGTTGTACTCGGTCTTACAAACAGTCCAGTTCTCGGAAATGGTGAGCGCGAAGAAACACTGAAATAAAAAGAAATCAAGCTAATTTGCAAAGAATCACAAGAGATCAGCACTAGCCCATGAGTATGATTCCTGTAGGACGAGATGGTGTATGGCAAACGACACCAGGCACACGGCCAGAGGGCCAAATGCTGTGTCTATTTCGACCTAGGCCAGAAGCCCTACATGGTATAAATCTTAGGAGGAAAGAAACCTCCATAACTTGTATCTCGGCTCCAGGCTAGATCACATTCAGAGGCCATCACGATCATGAATGTAGGTGAAATGCGGGTGCATTCCCAAAGGGGTTGCTGCAAGCCAGTTTCTTGCCTTTTGTAGCAATCCTTTAGGCGAAATATTACAAAATAGAACGTATGACTCAGAGCGCACAGTGCAGATTTGGCGCTAACCCAAGCTAATGAACTCTCTAGGCCCGCGACTACTCAACTGGGAACTTCTCTCAGAGCGTGGAAAACTTGTCAATTATCCCTAAACTTCCCACTGTACTTAATCGATCATCTGACTGCGAATGAAAAGAGAACAATCGATGTAAAAGCCAGTGTTTCGACCTCATTTTCGGGTCCGAACTCAAATAGCCCACTCTGGAGGAATGGAGCACATCGCCTTCGAATTCTGGAGAAAGTTGTGGGTGCTACTTTGGGCGAAACACAATCCGCGATATAATCGTCGGACCACGTGCACGGTAAGCGGCGCCATTTTCCACCATAGCACTGATAGAATAACTGAAAGCACTCACGAATAATTGAAAAAGAGCGATGGCGATGAATGCGCCGATTGAGACGCCGTAATGGAAACCGTCTTTGCCGACTCGACGATCCTGTTTCTCTTGACAACTTGGATGGTAGTAAGTTCGTTCGGGTATCAGGATTGACACAAGTCGAAAGTACAGATACTCTCCGAAACCGATAAGGTACTGAAAAACGACATATAGAACAAAAGTACAGGAATAGGCTAAAAATATAGGATTTTCACGATATACGCTTGAAGGACACTCTCTGCAGTCGCACCAGGAGGCAGGCTCACGTGGAAGTGGATTTGGTAATTAACTTGACAGTAAAGAAAGCATGAAGAGGAGCCGTAGATGAGGAGCGATTCAGACGTTTGTCACTGGCATTGTAAGAGATTGGTATGGAAAAAGTGGGTGGTTGGACGAGTTCATCGAACCGCTGGCTCAATACCAACAGCCGATGCAGATACCACGACCAAGGGCATGCAAGTGATTCCTGTTAGATTCCCGATACAAATAATGGATAAGGATGTGGTAACCACTCTGATATATAGAAAACGCAGACATTATGAAGGCAACTTGGCACAGGCAAGATACATCCTTGGGATACATCCCCTTAAGCCTAGGAAGGGGCCGGAATTTCGGGAAAAATGACACGTGACTTCGCATTCCGGAATCCCCCTCCCCCCCTAAGGCTTTGTCCCGTTTTCAGTGTGAACGATCTCAAAAAGGATTTCCTACGTAATTCGACATATAGCACACTACAATAGGAAACTTCCCCGGCACGCGCCCAAAAATTTGCCTAGCGAAATTGTGCACATAAGTGGATGATTCCTGATAGCTGCATGAGACAGTCTAAGCCGGATCCGGTCGTTCACCAGGAACACACGATGACGTTGTGATCATAGGCCTTAATAAGTGTATTACTTACGGGGGAAAATAAAAAATTTTTTGGGGGGGGGGACGGCCTTCCAAACAACGCAAAGTAAGCTCCGTCAGTTAGCCAGCCAACTATTGTGCCCCATGTTTTCCGTAAACCGGGGCGGGTTCATACAATGCGACAAGGAAGGTTGTAACGTTCGTACTGTGCCACTTTCAATCCCTGAAAGTCCTCACTCCGCTGATTACCCTCTCGACCAGCTTACATTAATATGCGAAGACGTCCGAATGCATCGCGGAGTATGCCTTCTAGAAGACCACAGCAGACGATGACAAGCGTGTAAGCAATAGTGTAGTAGTGAGTGTGCAGGGTTTGTTCGATCGTTCTGCTACACTTCGTTTCGCTCTCATGGGTGGATCGGAGGCCACCGAAACGGGAGACGTCGCTCGTTGTTCGGACTGCTGACGCCGGCGCGGCCTCTTTCACACGAGCACGAAGTGTTCTGGGAGGGGCGACTGGCTGAAAATCTACTTTTCCTCCTTAGTTACCAGCTCTCTCGCCAAACAATCGACTGCTGACGCCGGCACGGCCTCTTTCACACGAGCACGAAGTGTTCTGGGAGGGGCGACTGGCTGAAAATCCGCTTTAGGTCTCTATCACAACGTCTGCAAATCAGACCTGACCCACCTTCTCATCGGCCGAAGCCGGCGACAACGGATCTTCGGTGATCCGTTCGAGGCCCTGTTTTGCTCGATGCACTAGTGGCTCCAGATTCTTGCCGACGTCAATTCGTAGTTCCTTCAACGATCTTCTCGGGAACTGAGCACGACGTGCTACAGAGGCAGGGAAACTGAAACGCTCGTGGTTACACAAAAGAAGGTGCACTAGTTTTCAAAAGTGCAAAGTGAAAGGTTTTGGAAGTCAAAGGCTTTCATTGTGCAAGCTAACACAGAAATGTCAACATTGCCTAGCACAGCAAAGCGCTTCTAAGTGAATAGCTAGTAACCTGTTGGCATGGCAATCACTACTGCTAGCTTTTTTTGTTTGAAAAATGAAACGAATCAAATGCATGAAACAAATCGGAGACGTCCTGCTACTGCGGTTCTCCGCCTATGAATTCATGAAAGAGCTTCGATTAGAATCTGAGCTCAAGGAATTATATGAGGTACAGATCGACGGCTGCACCAACATGTGGGTTACCGAATTCATAAAGGAAGTGGTTAAATGGTAAACATCCGTTAATCAAAGTCTTTATGGATGCGCCACGCATTCTACTTCCATTTAGAATGATAGCCGCTCTTTGCTGCGATTTGGAGTTTGTAATGATGAGCTGCGAAAACTGGCCGATGCACAGGTCAGTGCTTTTGCCCCACTGGACGAGGTTATCCTCGTCCGGGAGGGCAAAAGGGCAAAAGCAATTACCGTATCAATTATCGTATAGTATTTATAATATCATTATTGTCGCATTTATTGTATCAGAGCGATGGATGCTTGCTTGTGCTATGTGGAATTCGAGCAAAACTTGGCCTCTACAACACCTCCGCAGCCTGAGAGAGGGAGGAGGTGGTATATCGCACTTTTTGTCCTTCATCCGTAGCCAGGTGGCAAATATTATACATAGAGAGGCACTCAAAAATCTGGAAAAGGCAACCGACCTTCCCGGGCAACTCCTGGTTGAGTTCTGTCGTTCAGCTTCCCGTTCCTGATCACAGTCACAGTTCTCCAGGTCCGGTAGCATTTGAAGTCTGGAAATATCAAAAAATGAGTAGTTTTCCATATTTGCAGTTTGAACGGACGATCGCTGTATCTGTTCGGGTTCAGACGAAAAGTGCAAGCAAAGCATGCCTATTGCGCTCTTACAGCATTGAAACAAGCCTTTCACTTACCTGTTCAATATACGGCTAGCGCAGTGGCCCTAGCAGCTCCAATAACTTTGCAGGTATACAATATTATAAGTGCACACCTATTGTCGCCCAAAAATATAAAAAAAAAATCTAACATCGTAGAAGTTGAATAGTTCGGCTCAAGAGGATCCGTAATATTCACACAAAAACGAAACAACGAGAGGAAGTGTAAGTAGTTAATTAATTCAATAGGAATTTATTGGAATACGAGAGTACTAGGGTATTTTCCATGTAGGAGACTCTAGAGAGAGTAATACTTCTTAGATAACAGAGGTTGCCTCAGTAACAGAGCAATATTTGGTTGGATTCAGAGTTGCCCGAAAAAGCCAGGATTGTTGAACTTTCGGAAAATGAAAAAGAACTACCAAAATAAGCAGACAGCATAAAGAATGAATAAACAAAAAAAAAATTATATGAATAAAATTGTCGATAGCTCAATAAATATAGCAGCTCAATTTAAGATGTAACCAATTTTGCACAAATATAATAGAATTCCCAACTATAAGAGTATGGATGGGTGGGAAATGTGTGCACTGGACAGCAGCAACCAGAAAAAAATTACTAAAAAAGCATAAATAATCGGATCAACTGTAAGTACATATGCACCAACGATATGAGTAAACACCATGCGGTTTTACCATAATTCATAGTTTATTTTTCAGTTTATAATAGGCTTTCTTATCTTTGGTTAATTAACCCTTTGACGACCGTGTGGCGCCGGTGGGCCACACTTTCGCTCGGTGGCGACACGTTTTTAGGGGTTTATTTTGGCATTTTTTATGTTTCAAAACTACACAAATACATCATCGAATTCGCGGAATAATGCGCTAATTACTAATAGTGAAATTGTTGGAGAGTTAATGATTATTGATGAAAAAATTTAGAAAGAAGTGAAGTGACGCATTCATAACGGCGGTCGTCAAAGGGTTAATGTGATTCAGTATGATCTATGCTATCGGGAAATCTATTGGATTTCTCTCGGCTCGGCTTTTATAATTTTGAATAACAATATATTCTCCTGAAGCTTTGTGTGATTTCTATGCTTAATTTAACAGGGCGGGGGGGGGGGGGGGTTTTTGTTGCGTGAGTTTATGTAGTTTTCTAGTGTTGTTATCTACCGCAGTTGTTTTGTTGGTGTAACACTGTGCAAAATAAGTGAATAAATAAACATCAAAATAGACTTCACTTGTGTTGAATTCGAAAAAGGGGTGAAAAGAAATATCTGGCACAAAATTACAAATGTGAGAGAAACAGTATAAAGTCCGAAAGATGATCGGCGTGAATAAATATTTGACTGAATGGCTAATACGTGATATTGAGAGACAATCGACGCGTGCGCCTGACGAGCACGCGCCTGGAGTTGTACCTTCGAAAAAGGCTGTCTGTCATTCCGCAGTACGGGGATCCTCATAAGAGGCGGCGTGAGATTGAGTCAGAGAGCACCCCACATTTTCTGAAAAACGAAAGATTCAGAGTTACTGGCCGGCGGTACGATGTGCGCAACACGGAGCGCGCATCTCACCTCACCATCACAGGCTCAGGCAAATTATTTTCTGAGTGAGTCATACATCAATGAAAGAAAAGGTTGAGAACAGCGAGGAGCGCGAGCACCGGCACTGCGATTGAGCGCCGGAACCTCGCATGGAGAATACTCAGTGCAGCATAAGTGAAATTTATGGGCCACACCAAACATGGCGTTTTAAAGGAGGATTGCACGGAAAGAACGAAGGTCGAAGAAGGGAGAAATCGCCTAGTGGGGAGAGCGGTGAATCTCTTGAGGGTGCGGACAGACACGCAATCGGCATCGAAAGATTTGACCTCTGAGATCTAGCATGGCTCAAAGTTGGCGAGTTCGGCGATCTCCGCCCACCGATCGTCTGATCACTCGCCGTAGTACAATAGTGGCGAGTGATTAGATAGCTGAGAGAGCGTAGTGTTGAAGAGGGCAAAGCGATGAGAGTCCCATCAATGCTCAAATCAACGGACAAGGAAGGGGTCCCATTTCTCCGGTTCTGGGCCGTTTTTCGTGGTTTCGCTTTCTTTCTGGTACTACTCACCATCTCTACCTCAATTTGGAATGGGTTGCTTTTCCATCGTAAATTCGTCCTTTAAATAGGGTGCTTCCTTGAAAAGGTACCAAATATATGTATGTACATGCAAAATAAGCATTACGAGGACAAGGGATAGAGTGTTGAGTGGCTGCATAACTGCTGTTAGATTACTAAAAATAGGATATAGAATTTGTCTCCGACCAACACTTTCTGGGATGAGCCGCGCACTTTACCTTTATTCAGAGTTGTTCAAATGCAATTTGGCTTGCACGATGGCCTGACTTCGGAGAAAAACCGCTCTAATCTCAGAATTCTTATGTTCTGTAGACATGCTTTGCTTTGGGGAAATTCTATACGAGTTATAGGAGATTTGGGTCAGTGCGGGAGCGCGAGGGCTTGGGTAGCAAGGAGTCAGAAAAGGTTTAGTTCATTGCAAGACCGCCTTTGTTCTTATATTACACGCTTCTAGTAACCACCACGACAACAGGAAGTGGTAGAAGGCTTAGTTACATGGGTAGGCCAGGGTTCTATACAGGGAAAAAATGGGGGAATGACGAATTTCTGAGCTAAAAAAGGGGAGGGCAGGCCCAAGCGTTTCCCCAATTATACGGGTGATTCCCAGCGTCATAAATATTCACTAATGAAGCTAAAACGACGGGTGAGTCGTCACGAGTTAACTTTAGGTCTCGCCTCTTTACCTCTGACTCAAAACTGGTTTCTGTGACTCCAGCTGGAGATTGAAGCTTTTCTTAAGCCTCCTCTTATCTCGCTCTCCCGATCCTTAGAAGTGTTGAGGCTTTTCTCCTTATAGTTTTCTTGTTGTGTTCATGATATCCCACAGATTCGCTCTTGCGCCGCCCGCAGCGTCTCCAAATATGGTACCCGACAGGAGGCCCGTGATTGAAGAAGAAGCGATCACACTATCAAATTGATTTCTATCGCAGATACGTACGCTGGTTGCACCTGCCCTCGCCCAGTAATGCCATCTCTAAAAAACATGCGAACGCGATAGAACCACTCCATTTTGTGGACCACAAACTTGGTGTGTCGGTTTGTCGGTATTAGCATACATAGGGAAGGAAGCTCCTGATGGCCATCGGAGGACATAAACAGTGAAAATAAAAAGCAGCTACCTTCAATGTAGAGTACAGAGACTGGAAAGCCTCCAGGAGAGTACAAAATTTGTGTTTTGTCCACGAAACTGCACGGAAACTTGTTCCTGAGAGGTTTATGATGGAATTACCAGCACCAACAATACAGTTCCGGTTTTACAAAATCGCTTTGGATTGCTACATGCAGACCTTATCGTATAGTTCGATTGCAGTTTCTCAACATATGGAAGTTTGCTGCCCAGGAAATTTGCTCGTGAGGGAAATAGTAGATTGAAAAGGCAGCTCATGAGTGTTGAAAGCGAGCAGTACTGAGCAATATTGAGCTAGGAAAGTGCTGCAAGTCGTCTAGAAATAGATATGAGAAAGTGAACCTCGCAAACTTTTGAAATAGAATAAAATCGAAGAATTTTGAAGGTGTAGGATCCTTGAGGCCCAAAACCCGGCGGATGCTATTTCGTCATAGAGCACACAACTTGAAATCCACGGCCGCAACAATTGTTTCCATCAGTGCTAACTAAGTGCCGACTAACGACAATAACTCGGTAATTAGCCGAAATTACCGTAATCAATTCAACAAAGTGCTAGCAATAGAAATTGACGAACGAAAATAAAGCACTCTAATCGTTAGGCTAGTCTGAGTTTTAATTGTTTTAACCGGCGCTCATGATCCTTGGGGGGGGGATGGGAAAGGAACATGAAACCGTAGGTGACCTAGGACTTACCATGAGGCCCAAGGGAGAAGCGAGACCACGTTAAGGATGAATCAAATGTGCCTACATACTTCAAAGTCCCTTCTATAATTCGTCCTAAGGCCTTGTTGCCGAGTGCTGCAAACGGCCCACTCACTTGAACTCACTTGAATGATCCCCCCACCCCCCACCCCACCAACCCCCCTTTCAACGACATGACTCTGTCCTTGGGGATGAGTGAACGGGCCAAGTTGAAGGCCTTTTCACCTCCAACTTTGGCCCGTCTCTTCATTCCAGCTGTGATGCAATTGAATAGTGGTTTACCCCCCCCCCACCCCCCCCCCCCCCCCCCCCCCCCCCCCCCCCCCTGTACCCCTTCAGTAATAATAATAATGTAATAATAATAATAATAATAATAATAATAATAATAATAATAATAATAATAATAATAATAATAATAATAATAATAATAATAATAATAATAATAATAATAATAATAATAATAATAATAATAATAATAATAATAATAATAATAATAATAATAATAATAATAATAATAATAATAATAATAATAATAATAATAATAATAATAATAATAATAATAATAATAATAATAATAATAATAATAATAATAATAATAATAATAATAATATAATAATAATAATAATAATAATAATAATAATAATAATAATAAAATAATAATAATAATAATAAAATAATAATAATAATAATAATAATAATAATAATAATAATAATAATAATAATAATAATAATAATAATAATAAAATAATAATAATAATAATGTAATACGAATAATTCGAATACAGATTAGCCAAATGTGTGACCCCCCCAAATGCTAGCTATCAGCAGCGATTTCATGCACATCTTCTGCTCTGAGTTCAAGCTCAGTGTCGGGTCGGGTGAACGAGCTGCGCTAGCTTACCACTGGTGAAACCCTTGGCAAATCCTATTCCAGTTGCGCCAAATGAAGGCGCATAGCCCGAATGCAAAGAGCTACATG